GGGGGGACGCCGGCCCCCGCCGCCTCCGCCTCCCCCGCCGCGGCCGAGCCCTGCGCCCCATGACTCCCGCCGGCCGGCGGCTGCCCCGGTGCCGATAAGGCGGAGGCGGCTCCCGTTGCCTTCTCCTCGCCTCTTCTCGGAGCTGTCGCCGAGCCCCCTCTCCCCACGGCGGGCCTCTGCCCTCCCGCCGCCTCCAGCCATGACTTCCCTGACCCAGCGCAGCTCCGGCCTGGTGCAGCGCCGGACCGAGGCCTCCCGCAGCGCCGCCGCCGACAAGGAGCGGGGAGCGGGGGGCGGCCCGGAGGATGAAAGCCGCCGGGACGAGTCCGGCGACGACGAGAAGGGCGACTCCAAGGAAACGCGGCTCACCCTCATGGAGGAGGTGCTGCTCCTGGGCCTCAAGGACCGTGAGGTGCGTCCGGGGCCCGGCAGGGGGTTGCAGAGGAGGCCCGGTGGTGTTGAGGGGGCAGCGGTTATTCGAGGGCTGATGGAAAAGTGGTCTTTAAGTGTTGGTAGAGTGCGGGTGGGATGGGGGCAAGGGCGCTGCTGAGTGAGTGTTGCTGCGGGTTTGGGGCAGCGGCGTTCCTGGGGACGAAGTTGCAGGGGGTAGGGGGCACATGCTGGAACAACATCGGCTCTTTCGAGGAGGTAGAGAAGGTGCTTGGATTTTGGGGAGGGGAAGCCCGACAGAGGGTTTGGATTGTCCTTTGGGTGCGGGGGTCACAAAGGGGCTGTCATGCTGGTAGCGTCTCAAGGAAGGCAGTGTAGGGGTTGGGGCAAGATGGAGATGGGGAGGTGAGGACCAGGGCCTCTGGTTGACTTGGAGGCCTGGGTAGATCTGTGGTGTTTATACTCCTTTTCTAACATGACCCTAATGTGGAAGACTTGCCTACTTACATGTATTTTGTCAGACACAACCCCGTGGTACTTAAGGGTTCTCAGGTGCTTTTAGGGTGCTGAGCAGCTCATTCTACTAAGACTTCCCAGACTAATGCACGTGAAAAAGCACTTCATATTGAGGGAGGTACATATAACAAAAAATGGGGCTTGAGTAATTTCCTCAAAATGAGGAAATTGCATTATTATAATTCTGTGGTTTTACTGAATTTATAGCTTAATTGTTTGTCATGATATTGTGAATAACAGTCATTGGAGAAGCTGTGCTCCTGCCAGTGTCCCGGATTTTTGCTTCATTTGAAAGAGGTAATCAATATAAAAAGCTAGCACACTGCAGAAAGTCAGACCTGTCAGGGACATCATTTAGTTTAATGTGGTATATAGAGAAGCGTAATATGCCTTTATATTATATATGACTTACAATATCAATTTAATTAGGCAACCTCCTTTTTTTTTTTTTCCTAGTGCTAAGTTAATTAATGAAGCCAGGTCATTGATTTGGGTGGAAGTCTTTTAAAACTGTGTTCATAAGCACAGAATAATGGGGGAGGGATGTTCTTTGACAGTGCAGTGCATCTAAAATAAGTTTGCTGGTTGATAACGAATAGGTTAAAGAGTAGTTTTCCTGATGAAGACTTGTTTTTAATGTTTATGGGTATATCTGTATACAAACCTGCTACAATAACATATTTTATTTTTCTCATATTGTATACTTTAGGCCATATTCCTCCAAACCCATTTTTTCAGGTGGACCTTGCCAATGCATCCTGGTAAACTTAGTAGATAATCACAGTGATGTGTGCTTCCACCTGTTGAATTGAAGACTTGTGCATGTGTGCATTTCTCTTTCTACACACCCGAATAGTTTCGAGAAATTAAGTTAGGTGTGACGAGACAGGTATCTGGCAGGATTGCCTAGGAGGTCTTGCCTTGAGGAAAGTGGGATAAACTGGGTGATCTTTCAGCTCTTTTTTTTTTTTTTTTTTTTCCTTTCTCCCCCCACGTGATTGTGTGCTAACCCTGCTGAATTTGTGGGCCTTAGGCTATAAAGATTTCAAGGGAGGGAATGTTCTGTCTGCCTAGAAAGAATATATGGTCCAAATCTTCCTAGTATATCAGAAGTTAATAGTTAACATTGGGCCTGGAAATCCAGCTTTGCACCGGCATGCATCAAAATTACAAAGCATCTAGCTTTGTGAGGTGCAGCAGTGACACACACCGCAAATAATCTAATATTCCTTTGTATGGAAGAGGGAACTGAGTGATTACAGTGGCACAAATGTTCATAACTCCCTTGGGATTTTGCAGCTGAGATGTCAGACAAAAAGAATGATAATGTCATCTCTAGTGTAGGGGGCTTATGTGGAGAAGCTGTAGGATATGCCATTTCTGAGCTTTCTTATATATGAATGACTAGTATTTGGGTTTCGATTTTGAGTCTGCTTGTACCCCTCTGTTTTACACTATGTAAACTGCTTTGTCTTTGTTTTTATTTTTCCTCTTAAAACTGGGAATAAAACTACAGACACATTTTCAAATATGACTTTTTAAAAAAATTTTCTGTTGTTCTAGCTGATAAGTTAGCAAAACTTATTTATGTATCTGGAAGTGTTTTTTACAAAGTTTTTACTTCCAATAAAATTGATTTCCCATTCCATTTGTTTGTAAATTTCTTGTGACAGCAAGCAGAAAAAAAGCAATATAGGGTCTGTAAAGTATAATTGTGAAACTACACAAGGTCTAAGGGAAAGGCAATGGCAGGTGCATGAGCTACAAGCTCAGTCGAAAGCCAGTAAATCTAATGCTGATAACATCCTTCCAGTTTATTCCAAGAGGATAAAATAATTTAATGTTGAGTTTAAAATAAATAAAGAAGGAGTCTGAATTGGTCAAAGAACCAAGATGTTCCCCTAGAAATAGCTTCTGTCTTGGAAGAGTCACTGATACATGCATTGATAACTTAGCTTTCAGGTTTTTGGTTAATGTTTTTTCTAAAGGTAAACACTCGTGAAATATGGCTCCAACACCATGTAAATTGTGTGAAAAATAACTCGCGTGTATGGAGCTACCATTTGTAATTTGTAAGTGTAGGGGGCAGGGTCTTTACTCAGGAGAGAGTTTTTCAGGAAGATCCAAGAAATCATGTGTTGATGAGTTCAATATTTCTAGGAGATTGTTAGATATTTAGGTGAATCTTGTTTTCAGGATAGCGCAGCGGTTGTAACAACCACAACAAAATGTTTGAGCTGTTGCCTGGTTATCACTGCAGTATGGGTTCAGTGAAGGGAATGTCTAGCTGCCCTAAAACAAACACAGCATGCCGCAATCCCATTATTAATGCTTGAACACAATTAACTGCATTCTCACATGCTTCCTGGACATGCCTTTTCTCTTTTTTTGTCCTGTTTGGCTTATTTAGATTCTACTTGCTGTGTGTGTACTGCTTGCCACCACTCTTTTCCACTAATGGTTCCTCTTCCGTTGTATCTTCTGTGTATACATAACTATTTCTGTATTCCAAGCTCAATATAGGTTATAAGGGATATGAGCTGAAATATGTGCTTGCATAATGTGACAGATGCGGTGTCCTTGGAGGAGCAGGTTATATAGTGGAACAAAACATATTACTAGAATTCTTCAGGGAACATCACAAGAACACCTACACTTATTTGGAAACCCTTCAGAAACACAGCTGGGAAAGGGAATTGTGTTCATCCATTTAGAGTAGAGCACTAGCCTGTTGCTATAGGAATAAAGAAGTGCTCACTGAATTAAAGAACTTTGTTATATTAGGTTAAAAATATTATTGCAGCAAGATAGGTCAAAGCCACTGCAGAAAGGAGATAATTCTGTAGAACTACTATGGCATCTGATGTCATTGCTCCCAAAAGAGGGGAGTAATAAGTATTAAAAGTTAGCTTATTTAAAAACAGCTAAGAGGCCAGTTCAGGCCATTTTGTTCATTACAGCCCTTCCAGACATCTTGTAACTCAGTCCCACAGAAAACAGAGAGTTTGCTAGGTGGCTGTGCTCTATGACTGTTGCTCCGTTTAAGTTGATTTAAAGTATTTTGTACATGTAGAGGGGTCTTTTGTCTTTTTATTTTTCCTTGTTGGCATTCTCCCTCAGTACATGTTGGGAATATGATACTAGAAAGAAGTTCTTTACTGTGAGGGTGGTGAGACACTGGAACAGGTTGCCCAGGGAGGTCGTGGATGCCTCATCCCAGGAGGTGTTCAAAGCCAGGCTGGATGGGGCTTTGGACAACCCGGTCTGGTGGGAGGTGTCCCTGCCCATGGCAGGGGGGTTGGAACTCAATGATCTTTAAGGTCCCTTCCAACGCAAACCATTCTATGATTCTATGAATGCACACAGCTGCTCCTGTCTTCTATACAATGTGCCACAACTAAACAAATATAGAGACATGGCACCTACTAAGACAAAATATTTGATCTGTAACTAATTTCCTGAAAGAAATATCATGTAAGTACTCTGAAATAAGCATCATGTGCTGCAGTCTACTGTAATAGTAATAAAAATAGAAATAGTAATATTTCTGGTTTTATTTATTCTTTCTTTGATGAAGACTAAAATGTAATTTGTGAGAGTGAAGTAATGTTCAATCACTTTGTTAGGTACAGAAGTTATCTTTGATCTTTGCTACTCATGTTTGACCTCCAGAAACTTCATTTGTTGCTGAAGATCTAGTGTTGCAGCACAGCCTTTTGTCCAAATGGTTAACGTGAAAGTCTCCAGCTTGCATTTTTCACTGTTTGAACGAGTTATTAGGGATCTAATTCACCTGCTTCAGATGTGCTAGTCTGTGTCGTCTTTGTATCCTTCTAATATTTTTTTGTTTTAACTCATTAAAAAAGTTTGAGCAATAGCCAGTATGTCAGCTTGAAAGCTCCCAAGTTTTGCTGGAAAATTTCTGAGACAAATGAGTAAAACATGAAGAAGCATCTACTGGGAATTAACAATTCAGTTGACGAATGATGTATGAATGTTGAAACCTTGACAAAGACTTGCTTTTTCTCAAATGTTCAGGGCCTAATCACAACAAAGTGTGTAATGTCTGTGATGAAAAATTCTTTCCTTCATAGCTGCCGACTTTTTTGGTCCTTTTTTTTTTTTCATGTCCATACAGAAATTACAGGCTAGGAGAAGATAGGTGTGGGATGAGGAGTACCCAAATTCTGAATGCTACAGGGTGGAGTAAAGTGTGTCTTTACTGTGGTGCTGAATTAAATCCCACTTTTGGGCTCTTTGGAAGATAAGCTTGTTTAGAAGCTGCATTTTGGATACAAGTTGACTTTGTGTGGCAATGGTGTTTGTGTTTCATGGTTCTGCATGCAGCTAGTTATCCCTGCTCTTATAGCTTGGCTAGTCTCTAATCTGTATTATTTATTCATGGAGAGCTTCTAGTGTAGTGTAGTCCCTTCTTTCATGTCAAGCTGTCTAGTGTAGGACAAAGACAAGAACGTTGTCAAAGCCTGCCTAATGAGGTTTCTCAGT